AAAAAGAAAAATGAAACTGTTATTATGAACAGAAGGGTTTAGGCGATGAGTGTTTGAATGTCATGTTACAATGGCAATTTGCTAGCCACTTCAAGGGGTAAAAAAATGTTTTCAGTATTCTTGCATTTATAATGTCATTTATGATCTAAGCAACTAATAAAAACCAATATGATAATTTGTCTGCTTTGTAGTTATTGAGTAGAAGTAATTTTTCAAACATTTTTTCTTTTTTTCCAATAAATGAGTTATTAAAAATTACTTTAGCCACCACAAAGCTGTTAAGATCATAAATTATGTCATAAATTCAATAAAACTGAATATCTTCCTACAATTTAAAGTGATCAGCAAATTGCCTTCATATCACGATCTTTAAACTTTCACCAAATAAATACTGTAGTCTTGACCTTAAAACTGTTTCTTTTTCATTACTACTGTACTAAGATTATTGTCAAATAAATAAATAACTAAGGAAAAGTTTATAGTTTCTTGGTACTGTAAGCTTAATTCCAACAATAAGTCATAAGTTTATTAATAATATTAATATGTATGACGATAAATGATGATTGACAACTTAACCAGATTAATCTTCTCTAACAGATATTGAATATTGTTCAGCTTTTTACAATCTGTCCTCCTCTGCTATTCCTATTTTTAGCCATTCTTTATTTACCCAGTCTTTATTTATTTAGCCACCTATGATCAAAATTCATAGGTGAACTAATTCTTTGTTTTAGTTTTAAAATATTTTGTATATAATTAATTATTTCAGAATATTGAAGGTGGGGCTTTCTGTTTTTGTAAGATAGGTTATGGACGATGGCATCTGTTATTTAGAGTGTCTGCTATTTAGAGGTAAATATAATAGATGTCCTATTTGAAGGAGGAAGTTACAAAGGAGTATAAGAAGTTGACCATCAGCAGCCGGCTCTGCTGAGTAGCTTGTTTGGCAACCAAGTTATTGTATGGCAACTGGGGCATAAAAGAGTTCAAAATTTTGTTCATAAACCGAATTGTTCAAAACTGGAGTTTTGATTGTATTCTAAATATAATGTTGATAATGAATGTATATTCTAATAGAATTATTATGTTATATTTAACATTTTTTAGACTAAATTTATTTTATTTATTTAAAAATTAAAATAATTTAAAGGATATCAGCATTCTTTCTCTTGGCTAAGTCATCTTTCCATTGATCATGTCGTTTCAATTCATAATCAATTAGATCCATGCATAAAGAACCAATCTGCAATAAATAATTAATTTCAATTTATTTACATATTCTCTAAAATTCTGTATGAATGCATATACACACACACACACAGACTCACACATATATAAAATTTTGCATCTATATGTATACAGATGCAAAACTTTATAAAGATTAGAGCATTTCATTAACAGAATAATCACATTATTTTACTCAATTCCATTACATGAACTACAGTTTGCTTATTTAAATATGGATTTAATTAATGTGTAATAAAAATACAAATTAGAATATTTTATTTTTAGTTAAAATTAATTTTTATCTTAATAATCTACAGTATTAAGTTAAAAATATTACAAAGGAAATGTAACATTCAATGAAAGATAATGAATTGAATAAAATAAAAAGCAAATTGACAAATTTTTGTCAACTGGCTCTCAAATACTTATTTTTCTGAAGAGATCATAGATAATAATTAGGTCACTGTTTTCATACTTTTGCTTATAACCTTATAATTAATTTTAAAAGTTATTTAATTGAACTTCAGTTATCCTTTCAGCCTTCTTTTACTTTTAATAGTAATTATAATTTTATTATTTCTGAATGAATTTTATCATATAAAATTTATTGATGAAAAGATTCTTTACATAAAAATAATAAGACAGATTGTTTAACAGAATACATCTATTACATTCTATTAAAGAATTCTTTTAAATATTATTTTTAAGAAATATTATACAGTAATGTTCCAATTAACCAAGGTTCAGCATTTCTCAATTCACCTCAGATAATGCAGTTATTTGAGAAAGTATACTTTGCCAAAAAAGACACGAGAATATAGTACAGTACAGTTTATTTCAAGAATCTTAGCCAGAAAATGTGTGGTACTTGAAAAGTATTCTAGAAGTTGTAAAAACAATTGACTTTGCAAAACAATATAAATTTGAAAAAAGATTTAAAAAACTTTAATTGTAATCATCATAAAACTGATTTTATAACAATATTCTTGTATTTTGTCAATCACTTTGTACCAAACATTCTGTATTATCCAAGATTTTAATTGTCCAAAACACCTTGGTTGATATTACCTTGAAAAATTAATAATTAGGATTACTGTATTTAAATGTATTATTTATTATTATTAAAAGTATTATTTGAAATTTCTTAAAACTAAATGTTTAATTACAAGTTTATCATCATATTAAACTTACTTTAAATTGCGCAATTATTGAATGAAATTGTGAAAAAGTAGAGAAGCAGAAGAAAATATACACAATATTAGTACTCAAATCAATACTTTTCCTGCCATCTTCTCGTAGAACTCTTGCAAGTGCACCCAAAAGAGTTTCTACATACGGATATAAATAAAAAATAGCATAAAGTTAAATTCTAGTTATCTTAAATTCAATCATTTTATACAATACAATAATATTCTTTCATCTAATATAAGAAAAGAAAATTTTTGTTTCAAAGAAATTATTTAATACAAAGTGTAAAGATGAAGTAAGCCCCCTTTGTTATAATTTGTACCATTTTATTCAATAAGATGTTATTAATTCTAAAAAATGATTAAATTTTATGGTATTATTATTATATTTATTAAATTAATTTTTTTATTAATAATATTATATTTGTGTGTGGCCAATAATAATACGATTGTAAAGTAAATATACAGTAATTTTCTAATATTTATAAAGAAAGTAATATTGGTAAAAGTACTAAAGTTTTTAATTATCAATTAGTTTAACTCATTCAAAGTAATGTATAATGCAAGGTAACATATATTAAGTCAAAATTCTATATGAGCCGTTGATTTTGGGGCAAGTCCATTTTATGTTATTGCTAGATATTTAATGGTTTGCATTTGAATGAGTTTAAAAATATTTGTAAACAGTAATAGACTTATTTTATATTCCTTTGTGTAAATTTAATATGCAATAATGGTTATTAATGTTAGATGAAAAAAATCATGATTTTGGTATGCGCCAATGGATTTGCCTCACTTTCAAAAGCAATGATTTGTTGAAAACATTGCTCTTCTATGAATGGAATATAGTTATAACAACAAAAAAATGAATACAGTAGACCCCCCTATAATTAAGGTTCCTATAATTACGATTCCTATAAAACTGTGAAAAAATTGCGACAGTAAAAAATCATGATTTTGGTATGCGCCAATGGAATTGCCTCACTTTCTAAAGCAATTATTTGTTGAAAACATTGCTTTTCTTTGAATGGAATANGTCATGTAAACACAAATATATATATACTTAAATTTTATTTAATTTGATTTTGTTGTTTTGTACAAACTTTTAATTTTCAGTTTTTAGTTATTACATGCATGTATTTATACAAATCTTTAATTTGTATAAATATATGCGAGAGCGCAGACTAGACAGAAAATTTTTATTCAAAACATGAATTTTCAAAGAATAACATCTAAAATGTACACATGAAACATTAAAATTATATATTTTCTTCCAACACTCCATAAAGATCACAGGAAGTGATTGTATCTCTACCCCAGATTCACTTCCTTACAACTGTGACACATTCAGAAGATGTGTCACTTTTGACTATGTATCGTGAACCTAACACTGAAATTTGCCTATTAGATTAATAACTTTTCCAAAAATTGAAAAATGAACTAAGGGGAAAGACCCTCCCAAATAAAAGAGAGAATTGAACGATGACGAGAGTTCACCCATCATCGAGTGTTCGCGACCAGCCTCTACATTCAAGAGGATTCAGCCACACTCTGCCACCTGTACTGTCATTGCCGCTGATCATTACCTAGGCCAACCTATATTTACCAGTCTTTCTGACAATATTCATTTACCTTCCTACCTTTCATCAGAAGGTCTCACATTGAGCAACCTGACATCCTACAAACCAGGAGTCTGTCTACTTATTGCCAATAAGTAAGAAATCTACCCACTATCAAATGAGTCAGCCATCTCCACCTATAAAGCATCCAATCTTCGAGGAAACCCAACAACCACAGGTATTTACCATCTCACACCTAAGAGTAAACTGTCTCTCTCTCGCACTTAATTAAAAACTTCTAAATGATTTGCTATTATAGTTGGAAGTGTATAACCTAATGAGTAAATAAACAGGTATTTGTTTGATTTAACTTGTAGTAGAGTGCATTTCTTCTACTCTGTATCTTAAATGTCCTCCATCCCAAATCTGATCACCTACACATACATCCACTCATGTGAAGCCATAACCTAACGGCCATAGCAGTTTCTGTGTCTTCCCTAAGGACACAGTGGTATCAGTACTGACATGGGAATCACCAATGTGGTGCCGACCCTTTGGTCACACATACATATTTCAAAACATAATTTTTTGTTTATTTATCACAACATTGTGATTTTTTTCAAAAATTAAGCTGTGTCCTCAATGGTTTTTAAAATTTTTATTGCATCCTTAGTAACAAAAAGGTTGCTGACCCATTTTAAAATATCAAAACTATATTTGAATATATAGTTTTATCATTCAGAACTATTAAATGTATTAACTATTCATTTTATCTATCAAATTTATTAAATGTTAATTTAAAAAGGTACAGTAGTTTATTACTTTTGAATGAAATTTTATTAATTGCATTTAATAAAATTACAACATTGCAACTGAAATAAACAAAATATTTTTCTTTTAAGTAAACCAGATTTATTTTATATATTTATCTATATATTTATCTAACTTTATTTTATAACTATATATACACTTAAATTCACTGTTAATTTGATAAAGATTAAATTGTGTGTGTTCATTAAAAATTTATTAAGGATAGATTTAAAAGCAATTTCAATTTTATATAGTGATAATAAAAATTTATGTATTTATTTACATAAATTTTCAGTAAATATTTTAGTTTAAATACAAAATTTTATATAATCAATAATGTTCTATTCACATAAAAGTGAATTAAAAAATTTCAAAATTATTTTTATCTTTTAGAGTAAAACAAGAAAATGTATTCATTTTCAAAATAAATTTAATTAATAAAAATTTACTCACTAAAAAGAGAGCTTTTGTTGGTCCATCATGTTGAGAAATATTCCTAATCATTTTCATCACCAAAGGATCTTGAAAATGAAATGCTCGTTTCATTAAAAGCTTTAATCCATTTCCTTCACAAATTAATTGTGCATTTCTCTTATTAGCAGCCAAGTTGATACATAGTGCAATTAATTCAAGAAGTATTCTTTCTTCTGGAGATTCTAATATATGCTTCATAACCTTAAAAAACAATTAATTATAAGTTCATGTATTTATAATAAAATAAAAAGTTAGATACATTAGAATCATTTTTATTAAAGTCCAAAAATTTTTCAACAATTTTTAATTCAAGTAATGCAAATAGACTTTCTATATATTAATTAAGTTAACATTAGAGAGCTTAAAAGTTCAAACATATTGCAATACAATTCTGTTAAAATAATATCTAAAAAAATAATAGGTATCCTCTAATTCTTGTGCACTTCTTTTTCTTGATGTAACAAGTTCCTAAAAAAGGTTCTCATACAATTATAAGTATTATAAAAATGTCCATGTTTTTTTCATACAATATGTTATCTTATTTAAACTTCAATTTTTACCATTTTATGTTTAATAAAAATATGTTTTTGTTCATAATAAGTATATTTTCATTTTGATGGCTTACCTACATGTAAGAATAAATAAAAATAAACATTTATATTACATTTAAAAAAATTTTATTTTATTTCTAAAACTTTTCTTATTTTAATCAAATTTGTTTTTACATTTACACAAGAATTTATTTGAAACTATTGTAATATAAAGTTATTGTGAATACAAAAATACCTGATTACAATATAAATAAAAAAGTTAATGCTCTTTTTTTGATTAATATCTGAATTTTTAACACTTTACAGAATGATGTTATTAGATTTTTAAGAATAATATGAATCAGTGTGTTTATCATTCAGATTTAAACTTCTGTTGCATTAATATCCCACTAGAATTATACAGAAGAATTATTCTGTATGAATAAATGCCTCATGTAAGTGAATGCAAGTCTAATTCTGATAGATTACTAAAAATAAGTTTTATCATGAAGTAGATAAATATAAATATTTATAAAACTTTTCATGATTTTTCTCAAATTTATTAATAAGATAATCTACTCAAATGATAAAAAAATTATGTCAAAAAATTATATTAAACTGAACTGAATCTTTATTTATAACAACTTTTTTATTTACACAGATGAAATTTAGTTTGTTAAATGTTTTATAAAGAAAACAATATACTTACAATTGGAATGCAATCTGTATATGTAAACATAGATTTACATCGATCATCCATACTAATATGATTTAGTATACATAGAACAACAGTTTGATGTCTTTCAACATCTATAAGGAAATAAATTATGATGGCAATATTATTTCAAAAACATACACATAAGAAAACATGTAGTACAATCTTTATTACTATAACAAAATTTTTGCTGTTAATTTGTTTTATTTAATAATTAAATTACACATATATTAAATATTTAATATTACTAAGTTTATATTTAATATATATATAGTGTAAACTTACTAATCAAGTTTACAAGTTTCGGCAACAAGCCAATCTTCACCATTGAATTTCGTAAATCTAAATCAAAGGAGAGATTAAGCAGGAGACGAAGAGTTATGTTTAATAAATCTTGATGTTCATTTGGCACCAACCGTGCCACTTTTTCTACGATACAGTGTTCTGCCTAATCAAAAATAAAATTATATAAATATTTTTAACTGTATGCAAATTTTATTTCAATTACATTTATCTAGTAATTCAAAATAAATTCTTTAATAACTTTTAATAATATTTATCATTTATTTGTTTTAGAAAAAATTATGAAATTTATTTCAATTCACTTTATGTCTTTACTTTATAACAGGTTTTAATTCAAAATAAAAAGTTTATTTAAATTCTATGTCTTGAATATTATTTTCTCTTTGTTTCATTATACTGTCATAGAATTCACTGAGTAAAATTTTTTTAGGTTTAATTGCTATTATTATTCTAAGAACATAAGCAATTTCTCAATTAATTATTCTTGTCTGTATCTATTTGATCATATCTATTTTAAAAAAATAATTTTATGTTACTTTCTTACTCATCATTGTCTTCTTGTCTATCATTTAGACATTTAATTATTGTATTGAAAAGTTATAAAGCTATACGAGCCAAATAACTTAATATTACTCGAAGTATATAGCTTAAGATATAATTCTATAGAAATTTACCTAGTTCAAATCTTTCAAACATTTTACAAGAAAAAAAATATATTTTTTATTTATGGATTTTGATTTTAGTCAATAT